GAATGTAGATCGAAAAAATATTTTTCAATTAGTTTTGAACAAAATTTAAAATTTCAGCTGTGTATAATCTAATTATAAGAGAGAGGAGTCTTAGTTAACTCGAAGTTGTTAGTACTAACTCTAAAAGAATTTCATGTATACTTACATACACGAACATAATGTCATATTTTTTTCAATAAATATTAAATTTAACATGCAACAGTTAATAATTAACAATTTATAGTACATTTTTTTATTAAAACTAATTTGAAATACAGAAAATAAAGTATATTTTTTATGCTGTACGTATTTGCTTTTCAAAGTTACTTTAGACAATTTATAATTCAGGTCAGATTTCAAGATAGAATTCTACATGTAACGTGCCAAAAACATTTTGAGGAATCAATACACATGTTTATACATATTGTATATTAAGATATATACCTGCAAGTGCGCGGCATATAAAATTATATCTACTAGAATTCTTTTTTTCTAATTTGAATGTGAATTATAGTTAATCTAAGATGAACTTAATACGATAAATATTTCGCGGTTGTTATAATTCAGTTGGCACACGATATTTGAAATTTTTGCAGGTTGAGTGAATACTTAGCACGTGTACACTTCGTAAACAAGGTCACTGCGCGGTCGGGCGTAGTAACTTCAATCGTTAACGGTCGGAACTGCTCCACATGTTATTGTCTCTCGGAACGTGATCGTGGCAGGATCATATTGTAATCGATTCTCACTGCTGGTGTGTGCGAATTTGGATTATGATAATAATATAGCGTGAAGGAGAAAGACTGTTTATTGAGACCTCTCTTTTTTCTCTTTAATTTCTCTCTCTCTCTCTCTCTCCCCCCCTCTCCTTTCTTCTCTGTCCTCTTCTTTCCTCTTTATCTCTTTCTTAAATAGTTCGATGGAGATAGGAAATTATGAACTGTTGCTTTATGAGCGACAATCATTTCCCTAATGTCGAAATTATCTCGCCTCGTGTTTGGAATTTTTCATCGATTTATCTAGCATTTCCGGATTTTAAGTGCGGTATAACACATGAATTATCGGGCCGAGTCGATTTAAGTAACAAAAAATCTATTGCGATGTGTATTAATCATTCATTAACAATTTATTTGAAATACAAAAAATTTTATTTCATAGTACATATTAAATATTTCGCAGAAGTAATCAGTTGGTGCTCGACATGCAGTGTTTTCTTTGATTTTATTCAATGTACATAGTCTTAAAGTCATTATCTCTCATTCTGTAGTACCTGTCATCATCGTGATATTATCTCTCGGTACGCAATCATGGCAGGTACTAGAGAATGAAAGATAATTCCCTAAGAATAGTATAAGAATAGTACAATCCTAATCGGATCCGAACATTAACCACGCAATATAACTTCAGTGTAATATCAACCCATTATTTGAGATCGTCCATTATGCTAATTTACAGGACATCGTGGGTTAACGATGAGAATGTCGTGCTAAATATCTTGGGATCCTTGTATTCTACAGCGAGCAACGTGAGTGATCGTAAGTGCGTCTTAAGTGCGTTTCGAAAGTATTGTGTCGTACGAGTGCTATCAAGGAATTAGAAGAGGAAGAGGAGGCCTGGGAGACATCAGGTGGCAGAGGAGCAACATAGACTTGGTTATTATTTCATTTGTTATTCGTAAAATTTATTGTTATTTTAAAATTATTTCACACAAGCAATAATTGTTTTTCTGAAATATTTACTTATTGATTATTTTGGGAATTACTAATTTGAATATATCATATATTTGTATTTTATAGATTTTGCTACCATCAACTCCGCTGCTGCGCATCATATGGTGAGTGACAAGTTAATGGCTTCTATATAAAAAATTACGTATGTATTAAGAATTTAAGAATACAAATATTTTACGGGTCTATTGTGCTTTATCACGGACGAGGCTCAAATTGAATATAAATTGACTTATTAATTTAACGGAATACTGGTATATAATCCAATTCGATTGTTTATAACTGTCATAAAACAAACATGTTGTAAAAAATGTCATTTCAATTGATACGCTGGACAAAGAACAACGATACCAAGTAAATGTATGTATCTGCATTAGTACTAAAGTTATAAGCAATGGAAAAGGCATGAAGAAGAAGAGTATTCGAAAAAAAAGTCAAGTATATCATACTGAAAAGGTTTAAGAATTAACTTCATGTAAATGTTAATTTAAGATAACGTTAAATTAACGTTTGAATTACAAAATATTTAGTATTTAAAATTACAAATTTTTTAAAAGTAGTTTTTCTTGTTTTTACATAAAATTTATATTAGGAAAAAATATGAGGGAAATACCGAGAACGAGGAAACGCCTTGTATGTAATAGGTGGACTCTTACTATTACACCGTGAACGTAATGTTTACCACATCACACGTTTATACCACGGTGATTCTGTCGCATTGAAACGAGCGTTTCTACATCATACAAATTAATTCTCATTTCAACCACAGTTGCCAAATACGGCTTTCCAGTTTTCGTGTAAATTGCAACATTGCTGCTAGAATTAATGAATTTTATAACTGAACTATGCGGAAATTTTTATAATAAAATAACATTGAAAAAATATCTTAATTTCAAAGAAATATTTCTTTGCTCGTATTAAAAAAAATTATTTCTTTGAATCAAAAATTTCTTTGAAAATAAGATAAAATCAATTCTCATTGATCCAAAAAAATAATTTTTAATACGAGCAAAGAAATATTTCTTTGAAATTAAGATTTTTTTGTTTAGTGAACGAATTTGTATAAATCTGATTTGAACTTGAATTGTCATTGCTATACAGTAAATTTTTTTAATGGAAAGGACCGCGGATGATTAGCGAAGGAACAGAATGTTCATAACTTTGTCTATTCTATCTATCTAGCTTAAATTTCTATTTACTTTCACGCCAAAAGTTTGCAGCGAAGGCTCAAGTGTCGTGTATGAGTTTGCGAAGAGCGACGAAAGCGTAAACGGATTTTCCTCCACCCGACGTGGCGACTAAGGACTCGCTATTATTTACAAAAGTTCGCCGTCTTTACTTTCCTTTCTCGCCAAGTCGTATCCCGCTTTTAATGAAGCGAGGCGTACGAACTTCGAAGATACATAGCAGATGATGCTTTTTTGCAGAGTCTTTCTCTTTAATTTTTGCACGTTAAGCTTCGTGAAAATATGTTGTTTGTTCCAAATCAAATGAGATACGAATTAATTGTATACAAACGCGTTTGTGTTAAATCAATGCGAAATACACTCAGAGAAAGGTTTTTTTTTTTCCAATTCAAAGAAATGTCTCTTTGCTATACTGTTAAAGAAACAATTTTTTTTATTTGAATGTTATTTCTTTGATTTGATCATAATTTTTGTAAATTAAATAAATTTTTTTATTTAATTTCAAAAAATAATAAATTTTAAAAATGACATTCGAATCGAAAACATTTTGTCTTTAACCGTATAGCAAAGGAACACTTCTTTAAATCAAAGAAACCTTTCTCTGGATGTATATATTTGCATTATGAACTTAACAATCGGTTGAAAGTATTTTTCAAAGCTACAGGTTACATGTTTGTTTTTAATCAAATGAATCCGCTCGGGATTTATTTTCTGTTTAAAGTCGAAAAATCAAACAGAAAAATGACAAATTAAATTACCACTGAAAATAAAACAATCAAAAGCGCCTATATTTTTTATTTATTAACAAGAACGCACAAATTTTATTGAAAAATTGTCTTTGTGTATAGGATTCATACCAAATTTGTTGAAATAGACTAAACAATTTATTGCTAGTAATATTTTAACAAATCACTGCTCTCTTGGTCAGTTATTATATGCCAGTACTCGATACGTGTCTACATTGATCAATATCGATCAGATTACACCGGACTATTTTTCTATTGATAGTACGATATCGCGAGATCATATTTTTTCCTCATGGCGAATCGATGCGCCTCTGGATGCTTCACAAGCACGAAAAGCGGAGGATGCGGACGATGCTTCAAAACGGTGATAAATCTCATGCTACGTGATCGAAAAAAAAAATCTCGTTTCTATCCGAGAAAAATTTGCCGCGTAATGGATTCCGATCCTTTTGTACGCCGAGATTGCGCGTGTCCTACGCACGCCACACTCTCTTTTTTTCGCATCAAATAGCGAGCAGAGAGAAAGGCAGAAAAGAGAGAGAGAGAGAGAGAGAGAGAGTCAGAAATTTGTACGTATGCCTTTACATTCCGCAGTTTTCCTTTCCAATAGCGTCATCATACAGCGTTTCGCTGTTGCAATTTCATTATAGAAAAGAAAGTCATTCGTTTTTTCGCATAACTTCAATTACCGCGGTTTTATTTAACATGCTTGCAGCGCATACATGTGATGCACTGGTATTGATCGCTTCATTTTTTATTTGAGATAATTTATATTCAGTAGTACAGCGGAATTATTCTAATGCAACAGAAAGAATAAAAGCGATAAAGGAAATTTTGCGGGAATATCAAAGAGCTGCAGATTGCGGTAACTTAAAGTATTTGAATTATTAAATATTTAATAAATATTAATTATCGAGCAATGAGAGCATACACAGCACAGTACTTGTGGAGCGCAATATATAAAATATATTCACTATAATTTTACATTACTTGTTGATAACAAATTCCTTGAACGTTTCGGTTTACTTTAAACCATCATTAGCAATACCATATAATTTTCATGAACAATATTCCAATCCGCACATGTTGGAGATGATTCGATAGAGGAGCGTACCCCTATTTCTTAATTGAGAATTAATGATATTTCTCATGCCCGCTAATTAATACTTATTATTGTTTGAATTTTGAGAGCCCTGTTAAATATAATTTGGTTTTTTTTAATTAAATATTTGTCTTTGTGCTAAACTACTTATACATTGAATAGTGCTTGTCAGAGATATTTTCTTTTTGTTAATTATTTATTTACAAAATAAAAATTAAAATATGAATAATCGCGGTTTGATTATTTATAGAACGTGTTGACAGATGACTAAAGGAATTAGACATATCGAATGGTGATAAATGGGAAATCTTATAAGAGATATAAATTGCTGTCTATTTCAAAAGCTGTCGAGACTAGGGAAAGATTGAGTAGTCTGAGACTCTTCGATCAGCTCCAACGCAATAGTGTAACTCGACTCTACTGGATGATATCCGAGAAGAATCTTAGAAATCACTTTTCTATCTTCATGTTCTTCGCATTCTCAGAAACACTACGCT